ATGGTCAGTGAAGCTACAGAGCCCGTCACATCCTTACACATCCCTACACATCCTTACACATCCTAACACATGCTTACACATCCCTACACATCCTTACACATCCTTACACATGCTTACACATCCCTACACATCCTTACACATCCTTACACATGCTTACACATCCCTACACATCCTTACACATCCCTACACATCCTTACACATCCTTACACATGCTTACACATCCTTACACATACTAACACATCCTAACACGTCCTTACACATCCCCCGTTCAGCCCCCACGTGCCGGCAGAAGGATGCTCCTTCCATACCCAGGGTCCTGCTCTCCTCTTGGCTCTCCCTGAGTGAGCCTTCGTGGTCCTCTGCCTTTTGTACAGCCCTGAAAAGGGATTGTCATGCTTCCAAACTGTCCAACAATTATTGCTTTACAAGTATTATGATCTCCGTGTCAGTTCTTTTAACTCTTACTGTCGTTCATTGTGAAATTCGTTCTGGCAAAGCCCCAGAGGCCCTTCTCCCTTCTCTCTGAGGTTCTGAAACCTCATACGCCGTGACCCGGAGCTGAGATTGTGTTATGCAGAATTCTCGCTCACCCTGCACCAAACTGAAAGCATTTTCTGCTTGTTCAATTGCTGGGAACGGCCGCACCTCGTTAGCTGTGTAAGCGAGATTCGGAGGGGCGCGGGGGGCTCGCGGCTCCGGAGCCTTCCCCGTGCTATCAATAGATGGCAGCAGGAAGCTCCTGCTCTGCCCAGCGCCGCTCCCGGAGGATGCTCCAGCGGGAGCACGGAGCGAGCTTCCCGCCAGAGCCCACACACCGGGGCGCACAGCCTCGGCTCCTCAGGGAGGGCCTCGCTGCCCACTGGTGACACAGCAGAGCTATGCAGATGACCCTTCGGTAAAACGTCCCGACATGCTTGCAGTACATTTACAACAGGTCAATAACAGCACCTGAAATGCAGTTTACACTTGAGCTTACTGGCATCTTTACTGGTGTGCGTGGAAGTCCCAAAACGGCGGATGGCAATGAGAGAAAGCAGTGGTCAAAGTTCAGGGTGCCATTTGCACCAAATTAAACCCGCAAGTTTTAACTCGCAAGGGGTGAAACTTTGGTACAGCCCTCTACACAATTTGACCAGTTTGCGTGTTTAGAAGAAAGACGCAACTTATATTACATGAAAATTTGAATGTGTATTAAAAATAACTTTTCTCTAGCAAAGATGAGTCCTTCAAGAGTGTCTCAAAACTACTGCATCCTCCTTCTTTGCAGTCAGTGTGACTCTTTTTTTGTCTGGACCAAATTTTTAACTTCTTGTTTAGCCACTTTGTCTATTCAAAATAATACTTTTTTCCATTCACATAATGTGTCTTTAATCAAAAATAACTTTTCCTCACACTTCACATACTACCCCCCAAACCACATACCATTCCTTAATATCCCTTTTCCCTGTCTGGCCCTCCCTTTGATCATTTCTCATGCTCTTAGAGTGAAAATCTTCACATTAAAGCATCTCTTTGACATCCCACGGGTTGGAAATTCACTAAGTTGGACAGGTTATCTAAACTGGCCAAGTGATCTGGTGACCTCTGAAGGATGTGTGAAACGGGAATGAATATGACTGAGCCTTGCTGCTGTCATACAAATGGAGACACTGTGTTGGGGCTGCTTGGGAGGCATATTTTACTATTATATTTTATATATCTGCTCATAAACATAAATTTTTAAGCAACAAAACTATTAAAGCAGATCATTAATATTTTTTTCACACAAAGGATAATATCCTGAGCAGATAAATGCAGTAAAAGAGGAAAATGTGCCTTCTTCAAAGCATTCAGATTAAGAATCTTGATTTTCATTGTTCAATTTCAATATTAAAAGGACTCTGAACATTGACTTCAAGACCTTTAATTTTCTGCACCATCCTATATACTTTTAGGAAGTAATTTTATAAAGAAAAAAAAATATTTTGCTATTCTTTTCAGTAGCCAACCTATTATATCTGCTTAAGGCTTCCCAAATTCTGGACCAATTAGCAGTTTCTTGCACAGATATTGACTGAGTTAAAATGCAAAGTCTGCAGTCTCAGTGTCCTGCATGTCTACAGCAGAAAGTGCTGTGAGTGTCAAGGGCAGTTAAAACTACATTAAATTCTGGCTTCTTGTCATCAGTGTCATAGTATGCTTGTTAGGTGGCATGGTAAGTTGAGCTGGAAAGATATGGCTAGATTTGTGGAGCCATCTAACATTTTTGGTTTTTTAGTCAAGGCTGGGGAATATATGTACTGGACAAGCTGGAAGTGCCTCAGCACATCACAGACCTCTCCCGGCAGGTTCAAGACCCTTTTTCTCTTTTTCCTCTTTCCTCTGTTTTTTTTGTTTTGGTTTTCTTTTTTTTTTTCTTTTTTTTTTTTTTTTGTTTGTTTTGTTTTGGGTTTTATGTTTATTTTGGTTTTTGTTTGTTTTGGGGTTTTTTGGTGTTTTTTTGTTTGGTTTTTTTTTGTTTGTTTTTTTACCTCTTTCTTTCTTCCATCAGAAAGTTTTGTTGTTTGGAAATCACAAAGACAAACTTAGTTCACCATGGATTGAAGCCTTTATCATCCACCTGCTTTTATGGGCTCTTCTGACTTCACTGGTCACTCTCTCTGAGAATTCCTTTGGGGATTTTAAGCAAAATCATGTAGTTAACATCACTCTGTCTTTAAATTTTAGCTAGATGACATCAAGCCTGTTTTCTTGAAGTTTTTTTGTGTTCCAGTTTTTTATTCAAAAGCCAAATATTCAGACTTACCACAGAAGTCTTTCCTTGTTTTTTTACACTGGCAGAATAACACTGAAGTATTCTTGCAGTCATCTCCAAGCATGTTTAGCTAAGCTTCAGGTTAGGGAGGACTTTCTGCCAAGATTAAAAGAGGCAAAGGAGAGTCATGAGCTTAAGTGGAAAAGATTTCCTTAGAAGGGTGAAAACCAACAGTTTTCCTGTGAAGTTCTGATAACAGGGAGATAGCCCAGGGCTGCAATCAGAGGTAAAAAACCTCGTGCTTGTTAATTTATTCTCCTTTTCTAAGCAGCAGAGATCACTGCAGAAAGGTATAACTGAGGAGACATGGATTGCTGAAGATAATTTGTGGTATGCAATTCTATTTCAACTTATCAAAAATGTGCAGAGGAGGGAAGTGACACCTACACTTGCAGCCAGAGGGTGGCCATAGATTTATTTCTGCTGCACTGGAAGCTGCATCCCCCTCTTCTGTCACGATTATTTGCACATCCAGTACCCAGTCAAAGTGCAGTCACATCCTTACTGTATGGCAGCCTCAGTCATGGGACTGTGGTGTGGGGGAGCAGGCAGAACAGCTAGCTCCTCTATTCATCCTTGCAGGTCATGGATGTTGTAGGATGCACATCTGGCACAATTCAAAAAGAGGCATTGCTTTACACACGGAAGGTATGTGATTGGTCACAGGGAAACTGCTGCATAGACCTGGAAAGCTGCCAGCAGAAAGGACCTTGGGGTGCTGGTTGACAGTGGCAAAGCAGGAGCCAGCATGGGCCAGTTAAGACAGGAAGGCCAATGGCACCCTGGCCTGTATCAGCAATAGTGGGGCCAGCAGGACCAGGGCAGTGATTGTCCCCCTGTGCTCAGCACTGGTGAGGCTGCACCTCAAATCCTGTGTTCGGTTCTGGGCCTCTCCCTGCAATAAAGACATTGAGGGGCTGCAGCGAGTCCAGAGAAGGGCAATGGAGCTGGTGAAGGCTCTGGAGCACAAGTCCTCTGAGTAGTGGCTGAGGCAGCTGGGGGTGTTTAGCCTGGAGAAAAGGAGGCTCAGGGAAGTTATCGCTCTCTGCAAGTGCTTGATAGGAGGTTGTAGCCAAGTGGGAGTCAGTCTCTTCTCCTGGGTAAAAAGTGACAGAAGAGCAAGCAGCCTCAAGTTGCTCCAAGGGAGGTTTAGACTAACTGTTAGGGAAAATTCCTTCCCAAAAGTAACAGGCTGGCCGGGGAAAAGGTTGAATCACTGTCCCTAGAAGTATTTAAAAGACATAGCTGTGACACTCAGGGACATAGTTTTGTGGTGGACTTCACAGTATTAAGTTTACAGTTGGACTAGGTGACCTTGAAGGTCTCTTCCAACCATAGCAATTCTGTAATTCTGTGAATGAGAGCAGCTTCTGATTGACACTACAGTATTTTGGTTCTGTGACCCCTTCCTAGACCCAAAGACAGCTAGTTCTTAGATAGACAGTTCTTAGATGCATACAGGCAATGGCAACAGAATCACACTGTAGAAGGCAGGAATTTTACTATAAAGTACATCTGGCACATGGACCACATCTCAACTAATACCGGTTTGATGACCATAATCTTTGAAAACTATCTATCATTCTTAACAGGTTATATAACTAAAGGAAAGCAGAGTAATGGCAATGAATAACACAATGCACAGTCTTCACTGAAAGATAATCCACAAAGCTACATGCAGTCTATACCCTCCGGGAAAATATTTTTTGTCATGGAGAATCTTTTCTACAAGACTTAAGATGCCATTCTGCAAGCCAGTAAGAAGTTCTACTCTGTACTGCAATTATGAATTGTTACATAGGTGAAACCCTATTTTGTCATGCTTTACAAATGGACATCACTGAACTAGTCTTTTATTACTTAACCAAGATAAAAATTACATTTCATTACCTAAAAATTTATTCATACAGTGATCTCAAAGTAAAGGATGAATATTTTAGATGTTTGTATTAATCTAATCTCATAGCACACAGACCAATTTCAGTATATTCCCCAGCAATGGTTCTGCAAACTGCATCTCGCCTCAGGCTATTTAAGACAACAATTGTACCAGATTCCCACTGCTTGTTTCATCTTCTTGCAGGTGTTTGCAGTCTTGTAGTCATACATGACAATTTAAGGAGAGACTGCTGTAAGTGGAAGGGATGACCCTTCCCTGTGCCATTTTTACAGGGCTTATTCCCATCTCTTCATCTCCTTTCACCAGCAGAACAGTGAACGCTGTGACCAGGAATCAACTGGAGGGCAAGCAGCAGCACCTGCCACCTTCCATTGCTGCACACGTTTAAGGTATTGTAGTCCCCTCATTAATTTACTGTGGGTCAGGCTGGTGATGCCTTCTGGTCCCTTGCTCTAATTCTGCTACCACAAACCATCTGTTTTCTGCAGAGATTTCAAACACTTTTCAAAGCTTTTAGAAATAAGAGATTTTATGTCTGAATAATATTCTGTGATCTTATTTTCAATATGCATTGTGCCCTATGTTTGTTATCTAGGGGGGTTTTACCTTTTTTTTTTTTTAATTTAAAACCATGGAAGTTGTTGGATCATGGCCAACTTTTCAATTATTTAACTCGGCTTTTCAATGATAAGGGATAGCTTGAATTGTTAAACTAGTTCCTACTCTTTACTCTTTCTTGTTTGTTTTTTTGAAAAGAATAGGTTTAAGCATCATAGCAGGTTGGGTGATACACTAAATTTTTCATCAGTTTCTTGTCTGGTGACAGCATGAACAGTTAAATTTGCAGAGTGTTACATACTAGGCAGATCTAAGAGCCTTTGTAAGTCAGCAAGCTTCATTCAGTCCTCACTTCAGAGAATTCCAAATAGCGATAGCATCACATCTTGTTTTCTTCATTCTTACTTCAGACTCTTTCTGCAACATCAAAAATTTGTTTCTGCAAGGGAGCCAGAAAAAGAAGGATGCAATTGGAGGCAACAGACAGAAGCTGCTTTCTCAGAAACATGGCAGACTTGGTAGGAGAGAATTGAATTAGCCCTCAAAAACACTGAGAAGAATGGAAAAAAGTTTGTGTTACCGTACTTGGGAAAGGCAGAAACAGGATGGAGAGGAAAATACCGTTTGGATCTATGAGGAAGGAATATGTGCTTTGTAACATTCTCTGAAGTAACATGGAAAGGATGTATTTACCAGTTCCAAACAACCATGTGATACTTTTTGAGGGAAACAACTTTCCTGTGCAGAGTGAGAGGAAAGATGAGAGTTTAAATGTCAAGGTGACAGTTTTCTTTTGCTTTATGGAATTATCTTGACACTGTATAGAAATTGATTAGCTACCCTGCTTACTACTTTAATACCTACATTTCTCCATTCTGTTTAACATTACTGGTGAGACCTGCAGCATTTCTTATTCTGAAGGCCTTGAGATATTTCCAAGATGCAGTATTTCATTGTTAGCTTTTGTATCCTTTAAAAAGAAGTGTGCAGTGTCAATCCTGTTACCATTTTTTCCTTGTGTGCCCAGTCAAGGTAAATGTAGTCATTATAAGCTTATTTCCCTATAACTTTGCTCAGAATGCTAAGAAAGTCTTATCACTTTTTCTTTATTTCTTTATCTTAGGATGAGGGCAAATGTAAAACTGCACAATTGACCTATGCAAGGCTTTTCAAAGACCAAGATGACAACAATTACCCTTGCTTGTTGTGGTCTTGTTGTGGGCCCACACAACTAGTTTTATGATAACCTTTAACCTGCAAAAATAAAAGGTGGGGAGAGAGAGAAAGAGAGAGAGAAAGAATGAAGGGAAGGGGAAGGGGAAGGGGAAGGGGAAGGGGAAGGGGAAGGGGAAGGGGAAGGGGAAGGGGAAGGGGAAGGGGAAGGGGAAGGGGAAAGGGAAAGGGAAAGGGAAAGGGAAAGGGAAAGGGAAAGGGAAAGGGAAAGGGAAAGGGAAAGGGAAAGGGAAAGGGAAAGGGAAAGGGAAAGGGAAAGGAAAGGAAAGGAAAGGAAAGGAAAGGAAAGGAAAGGAAAGGAAAGGAAAGGAAAGGAAAGGAAAGGAAAGGAAAGGAAAGGAAAGGAAAGGAAAGGAAAGGAAAGGAAAGGAAAGGAAAGGAAAGGAAAGGAAAGGAAAGGAAAGGAAAGGAAAGGAAAGGAAAGGAAAGGAAAAAGGAAAGGAAGATCAGTGACTTCACGTTACCCCCTCCTTGTCTGGAAACCATAGAAACCAAACCGAAAGTACAGCCAAGAAGTTCGTCATTTGGCTATCTCTGGCTGATCTCCATGGAAACATTTCACTTTTTGTTGAAAGGAAAGATTTTCAAATCAGACAAACGGCCACAGTCTGACAGGTTATGACATCTTTGGGAAGAATTAAAAGAACTAAAACAATGACAAATATTTCTGCTTTACATATTTGTATTACACTTCTATTTTATGCTATTCATGCCTATTCTATTTAATTACAATTGCGGCCTTTCTTTCAGTTTTGTTAGCAAATCAGACATTACATATTGGGAAAAAGGTAATGCTCTGCCAACAAACCAGGGTCTATTAATTCTAGTATCCATTTTAGATTCTATTTGCTCTAAAATACATAGATCACCCAATATGGGTTTTTACGTGCTTTGCCTGGAAGACTGAATAGAGGTGTTGAATGTGTCATAACGACTAGAACTTAGAGTTAAGGAAATGTTCAACACTGGCAAGTCACACATCTCAGAGTTATTCTTTCAGGAGCCCTACAGAGTCAGGAAGGTACTTCTGCCTGTTTCCCACCCCCTTACCTTTTAAATTGCAATTAAAATAAGCACTGGATGTTCACAGAAAAAAAAACAAACCTGCTGGATAAAACAAGTAATATGGCAGGTCCTTCCATGATCTATGTAAGTCCTTGGGTGCTTAGAGTTCATGTCTGTGAGGGCGCTTTTGTTGGAGGTGGAGAGGTGGAGTGACCCGAGGATCTTACAGAAGTTTCAGAGTATGGTCGGTACCCAGCTGCTCAGACCAATTCATTTGTCCTTAGGCAGTTCCAAGTTACTGCTGCAACCATTCTACTCCTCAAAATTTTTATTTGCTTCTTTTACTGGTAGTGCACATAGCATAGGTGAGAAGAGGGTAAATATTTCTTCTAACTTAAATACACACAGAAGCTCCACTACCAGAAAGCTCTTAGGCAACAAAGGAAGGAAAAATACTCATGCCATCTTAACTTAAACAGAAAAAAGAAAATAACCCACAGTTACCCTAACACTATTAAAGAATGATTCTGTTTATCATTGTATACAGCTCAACAAACTACTATGCATATGGGATATGACTTACAGTCTTAGAAAAGCCTCTAGATATCTCTGATTCATTGTGCAATGAATATTATTTCCAATATTAGATTATTGCATTATGACTTAGCTAATGCCTCATGGTGGCAGTTTATTACAGTGCTCCTAGCTGTGGCCTACCTGCTAAGAAATAGTGACAGCAGAAATTCATGTAACAGAAATATTACCAGCAATGAAGAGACATCATCTGACTTCAGCTGAAGACAAACTGTCACTGAACAAAAGAGAGAAAATATGCTGATGCTTCCTAAAATTTGAAAGACTATCAAAAAGACTGCAATGAATTATAGAGACAGAAGTAAACAGAGCAGGAAACTCAAGGAAGTAATGAAAGAACATTCACATAGAGAAAGTGACAGGCAAAATATGGCTCTGCAGTATGTTTTATCAAATATTCAAAGTAAAATAATAGTCCAAAGACAAGAGCAAGAAAAAAGGCCACATCTATCCAGTTAGAAGGTAGTTTACTAACATACAGATGAAAAAGATGACACAGTTTGGTTCAGAATATTCAAATCAGCTTAAGAAGTATTCTAAATATTTTGACCACATCTGGTTTCTCTGTGCAGTTCAACAGTTAGAATATTAGTCAGAAGATGCCCTTTGTATTAACACCCCTTTGATAACAGAATATAATAAGACAGCAAACTGTACAGGATTTAGGTTAGGTTTGAATAATGATCTTAAAGTTCTTTTCTAACCTAAATTATTTTATTATAAAGTTGGTTAACAGTGGTATAGTTATTGCTTTCACTGCCCATAATTATGGTATGGATATGTCAGTTCTGTAGAGTTACAGACTTGATCTGTAAACATATGGAAGGCAGGACGTATATTTTAACTGCACAGGTATGTGCAGACTGACATTTTTCTTCTTGATTCCACTAAAGTTTGGGTGACATTTTTAATCAATTCTTGAAATTCAAAATCAATCTTGAGAAATTTTTGAAATTATTAATTTTTTTGGGGGGTAAAGTACTTTCTATTTGTTCTTAGATGGGATTAGCTGCCCAAACACAAGAAGAAAGTCTATTGACCTGGTAATTAAGTACCCAACAACATCAATCTAAAAGCTGTCTTTGTGTCCTGGTGCATATATAGAAAAAAGGAGCTGTAGGCAAGGCATCCAAATTGTCCTGTTCAGCACTGCTGCTTCCCACAGAGTATCTGTTTCAAGAAATCCATGGATCAGCTGGAGAGAACCTAGAGGAAGACAAGAAAAATAATCAGGGGGTTACAAAATATCCTATAGGGAATTTGAAAAAACTGAATTAATTGCAGCTACTTAGTTTGAAGAGAAAAAAGCTAGAAGGAGACTGAGCATCCTTCTGATATGCAAAATCATCTTGTAGGGAGAGTAGATCAATCTGTTTCTGTGCCCATTGCAGGAAAGTTTAGCAAAAACAGACTTATACTGCACCTGGGGAATTTGGTCTAGAAACCAAGAGAGATGTGTTTCTAGCCCTTAACATTGTGATAGTTTTCCTAAGGTAGTCTTACTAGAAATAGCGAAATCTCCATCATTAGCAGTTTTTGAGACCACATCACACAAACATCTGTCAGGAACTATTTATGCATAATTGGTACTTCTTGGGCCAGAAGAACTTGATATATCAGAGTTTCCCTGCTTTACTCTGGAGGCCAGAGCCACAGGCCCCTTCCATGGCAACTGAGGCACAGGGCAAACTCTCATTCCTTGTAAGCCAAAGGGGACCTCATCATTTAGTTGTAAAGCACTGGCCAAGTTTTTTCAGCTGTGCCCTTAGGCTTTGTTTCCTATAAGTTACCTTTCTGCAGGAAAAAGAAAGGGTATAACAGCATCTCCCCACCCTCCTCTGCCAGGCCTCTCCCTTCCCCTCCAGTGGTTCAGAAGTCTGCACGAGCTCCCAAGACACTGCCAGCCTTTGAAGGCAGTAAATATTTCAGCAATAAAAAGCCAGGCAATAGTGAGATAGGGCAACCAATAATTACTTTGCAGTCTGCATAAAGCACCCTTCAAATGTGCATCACTACAAGGTAGTTTTAGACTAGAATTTCCTGGGTTTCTATATTTATTAATTACACTTCAATTGTTCTTGCCTCAATTGAAACTATTTTGTGGCTACTAAGATCACCCTAGCATGAAGAGCTTCTTCTTGTCTTTCAAACAAAATTATGAAATTTTCCCCTTGACTTTTCTTGCTGCATCTTGTAATAGAACTGCATCTGGAAACACTGTACCATATTCTTACACTACTTTTACAGCAGGAACTGCTAAGTACTTTGGCTTGCTTACAAATTCCTCAATTCACTGAGATATAATTGTGCTGTGATTCATGCCTTTGCTAAATCTATGCAAGTTGTGGGCATGATTATTAACATCACATTAAACCCTAGAACTAAAGAGATTAGCACACAATTTTTTTTTTCTTGGACATTGGCACTTCGGAGATAAACTGCACTGTCAAAATGTTTAAGGAAAACAAAGCACAATTATGACAGAAATGGTTTTATTTTACAGATTTCTCTATTTTGAAAGAGTTCAGGAATTGTTATATGCCAAAATATAGCATAATTTGAGCATTTGTTTATCCATGGAACAGCACAAGCCCAGCATAAAACAACCTTAAGTGTTCAATTCAGGACCCTTAGTATTATTTCTTAATTTCAATAAATTTCACACTCAGAATGTTTTAAGTCTCTGTAGTGACATACAGTAGCATAAATAGGCCACTGTATGTCACCTTGTAATTGCTGTGAAGACTATATTATCTTTTCGAACTGCAACCATTGGGCCACAAATGGCCTCATTGATTTAATTTCAAATTTAAATTTTGCTCAGTTTCAAATTTAAACTACTGACTTTTCATATGAGTTTTTCTGCTGACTAGTATCTCTTCCCAGCACAGGTATGCATCAGCTATGATCAAATGATCATTCAAAACACAACACTAAAAATCATGGCCTCTTTATTTCTAGGCAGATTTTTTTCCCATATCCTCTAAATGTTTCACTCAGCAGATTCTTTTTTTTTTTTCAAGGAGAGAAAGGGGCAAAGTAGGAAACTGTCAGCCAGGGTAGAGGGATGAACTAAATCAGTAACAACACATGTCACTGACTTTACAAAACTCTAAAGTGTATTAAAGACTAACAGGAATTATAGGGTGGTTGCAGAATATTGTCACTGCAGCTTCTCAGGAATTTCTCATGTAAATTTCCAGAGAAATTCCAGAGGAGAAGGGAAGTCCAGCAAGAAATAACAGCTTTAACTTTTTTAATGCAAATTTGATAATGAAGAAGTCTTGCCAGGCCAGTTAATAGTGGCAGAGATCATCTTCTTAAATAGTTTAAAATTATTTTTTTACATCCCTTCTCAGCAAGATCATTGCAGAGAGCTGTGCTAAAAAAATTGTGGTTAGGGATGTATTATGCTATATGTATCATTCATCACTAGGAATCTCTGTATGATGATACAAGTAATTTAAGCTAAACACAGAGATTGTGATGCATTTATCATCATTTATTTTGTCATATGTATAAAACAAATAGATGAATAAAATTCTTTATTTCTAAGTCCATTCAGGAAATTTGCCTTATTAATAGTGCCTTGAGGTTTGTAATAAATGCTATGTTATTCTTACCTCTTTAACAAGTAAACCTTTTACTTACAAAATAAATAATTAAAAGCTCATCAGTGCCTCTAGTCACTATTCACTCATATCTAAGAGCTTTCTCGTGGCAATTGATTGTCTTGGTAGCTATACGCTGGAATATTTTCAGATAAAATGTACTTAAATGCTTTCAGCAAAGAACAAAGGAGATGAAAATATGTGTCTGTTGGTTTTGTCAGAAAATTGTAACATCAAGACCACACAGATTTTCACTGTCTGATAATAGATCAAGGCTCACTCCTAATAAGGCAAAATATTGTATTCAGATGTTCAGCATACTGAACACACACACATACACGAGAGAGACTTGCAGAGATTTTGGAGCTACCTTGTGCAGGAATACCATTCACTTGAGAGAAGCAAATGGCAAGAGAAGTCTGCAGACGGGAGCAGAGTGCGTTCAGAGTGCCCAGCCTGGACAGCTGGATATCAACACCACCCTCGATGGATGGCAGGAGGGAAGCACGCCCACAGTGGTCCATGGGCCTGGGGGCAGGTGCTGGGCTCAGGCCTGGCCAGGGCAGAGCAAGAGGCACAGGGACTGGCATTAAGCAGCTGTTGTTGTCATTGTAAAGGATGGGGGACACAGCACCACAAGTAGGCTGCTGACACAGCAAGCCTAAAAATCACCCCAGTGTTTTTTCAGTCAGAGCTCACTGCTGAAGCATCCTTGCTTTCACAAAGCCTGAGTGAGCATTCACTCATCTCTATAGCTCATCTCTATAGCTCACTGCTGGCAATATCAACAAGCCTAAGGTCCAGAACTTCATTAGTCAACATATTACTGACATGAATTTCATCATATAGCCATGGTATAATTCAAGTACATCACCTAACAATCAAACTAAGAATTACTAGACTATAATTTCTTGATTAGCTTTCGTAAGACATCAAAAAGAAAAACGTAAGCAAAAGTTTCAACCTGAGTAGTCTTTAGTTATCAAAAACCTGCTGTATTAAGAGAGGAGCAGCTCCCAGCTTAAACCTGTTTTTAAGCTAAAACATATTAAGTAAAGACTTAAAGCGATGCACAGTACTAACCTGCATAATTACTTGCTGGTCAGATTGCAACAGGAGAAATCATAAACTACTGGGAAGCAGGTAAAGGCCAAGTCATTAATAGATTAGCAGTGAAATATGACTTTATTTTGTTCAGATACAGATAAAAACTATCCTTTTTTTCCCCCTAGTCTGTTTGCCCATTCCAAGCCTCAGCCTTGCTCATAATCATAATGGCTGTTAAGTTTTGCAACTGTAAACATGGCAGAAGACTTTCATGACTATTTTATTCCAAAAATATTAATGTCAAAGTGTAGTTGACACAACAGATAACAAGCAATTTCTTGCTTCGTTTATCACAATTTTCTTGTTAGCTACAGGGCTCTTTTTAATTACAATTCAAGCATTGATTCAGCTACTTACTTTCTTGCTTCTGACAAGTTTGTAATTGTTAGTGTCCTACTTGATCCAGTGCAATCATTAGCAAAAGAGTGCAGCACTGAATCTGATATCATCATCTAATATCTACCCAGAGAAACACCACAAAGAAGATTTATCGATGGGCTTCTTTTTTTAAAAAATAATGACTGTAACCCAGAGACTGACTAATTAATTTTCTGAGAGTAGCTCATTAAGCTGTCATTAACAAATACACATTTCTCAGGTCCTATGATTGTTGCAGTACTAGACAATATCCATATGCAAAAGAGAAAATTAGTGATGCTTTCTAGATAATCTTTTTAAGGCCATCAAACCTGTTACTTTTACAAGGAAGTGGAATACAGAACATGTCAAAACAAGAACTGTGAGCACCATTTAACCACTGTTTTTTAGTGTTCCTGGTTATTAGAATTTTGGTAGGACTTTAACTTTCCTCAAGAAAATAACAGTAAAATTCTGAAGCACTAATATATGAATTTCTCTTCTAGTGGAAATACTCGCCCCTCCTGCCATGGTTCACTGTATGTGCCATGCTTTAAATCAGGTAAGAATAAGCCATTTGCTACTCTAACAAACACAAATGAAGGCCATATGAATGCATGGTATGGTGAATGTTTAAGGGCTGTGGAAGCAGAAATATGTTGTGAGAAGCTGTTTCCACCAGGTGTGGATGCAGCAGCTGTAGTCTAGTCATAGGCATCAGTTGTAGGTAGGATTTGCAGCTACAGATGATGGGAAACAATATTGTTCTTCATCACTGCATTACTGACCGCGCTTACTTTGAAAGTTTAAAAGTTATGACTGTGATTATGAAGTTGTGATTATCCTCTATTATCACTTTAAATGGGGGTATTACTATGAATTTAAGTGATTTAGTTAAACAGTTTTAACCTGTACTATGGTGCAATTAATATAAAGAAAGATTGTGACCATTTTAGCAGAGTTCAGGGAAATTAAATAAGATTGATATGCCTGTATTTCCATAGAAAAAGAGGATCCTGAGCCAGCTGTAAGCAAAGGAATGAAATAAACTTAGTTTGAATGCAATTCATGCTTCCTACAATATGCCATGATAGTGTACACAAAGGTAAGAGACTACAGCACTCGCAGGTATCCAAGGGACCTCCTGGCTTTCTTTACAACATACATTTCCACTTAAAAGCATCAGATAATTTAAAACAGGTATTTATGTAAAATTCCACTAAAACATGTTTAACATTTATCTGAAGAAGTTAACTTATCCCTCATACAAATCAAGTTGGGATGTTTTTTGCTATTTAATCATTTAATCTGTAAAATTATTTACTTTTCATACACACATATATTATTTTTTTCAAACTATAACTATTGTACTACTCATTCCTGTTGAAAAAGTTCACTGTTACATGCCTTAAAGCTTAGGCTGATTTTGTGCTACTGATATTGCCAGGAGCCCCACCTGGAAAAACAGCATTTGGAAGTATCTTGGAATGCAGGACCTGACTTTACTTTAACCTTTGAATATTTTATGCTCAAATATCTTTATTACCTAATTTATAAACATTTGAAACAGAGTATGGTAGGGCTAATGTTAAGACAAAATGTTACTGTGCACTGTCATTAATCTTTTACTATCTGAAAGGCTACAATGATTCACACTGAACTGTTGCATAGGTTTTGCATTTTTATTTAATATTATTAAATGTTTTAAAATAATAAATAAAAGTTCTCGGTTTTTCTTCTTCCCATCATGACTATTTTCTATTAGTACATTTCTTACAGCATAAAAATTTTAATGTTAATATAGCTAATCTCAAACATACAGGCATGTTACCTTTCATACTATATTTTATATAGATTTTTGTCATCTTCCAGTTGTTCACTCCATTTATAGTTTACCCTGTTACATAATATTTTACTATTTTTCCACTTTGTCTTCCACTTTGTTATAAAGGTATATTTATGACAAAAATATGTAAAATATATTTTTTTTTTTTCTTCAGAGTATATGCAGGTAAACAGTACATATGCTTCTACTTTGGTTAGGGCAACATTTACTGCTACTCAGTTAAGAATGGTGCATCTGTGAATTTTGCTGTATATTTTCAAATTTTCTGTCATTACTGCAGCCTCATGGCCTGCACCCTCAGTAGTTACACTACTAAAATTCAAGAGCATCTTTCAATAAACCTCTGTCACCTTTACAGTGCCTCACATGAAACTTCTTCATTTTATTTTCTCCTCTAAAATAGGCCCATCCCAGTTCTGAGTCTTCATATTTTCTATTTAAAGTCAATTTTTGTTCCATTTCAGCCTTTCTTCAGACGTGAATGTGTTCTGTTCTCCTAGTATATTCTGATTTCATGCTGTGCAATCCATATTTTTCAAGGGTACCTGTGACACTGCTTCATTGGTACTAGCAGTTGTTCACTGTTATGCCAATCTAGGCTGAACATTTCCATGACTTCAGAAAAAAAGTTATCAGAAAATCACTGTGGAGTACACCTTGCCCAGAAGTTAATAGTTTAATACAAAAAGCTACATATGGAGAACAAACCATTTCTGAGCAGGAAAACTCATGAAATCTATTTTTCTGTATATGGAGAAAGAAGCAGGAAAAGTTATATTATGATCTTTAAGTCTAATTACATTGTGGAATACAGACAATAAAACTAGGTTTGAAATTCAGCAGACTTTCATCTTTAATGGAAAAAAAATTGTGTAATTCAGCTCTAGAGATATAACTAAATGCCAGGCTCAACTAGCTGATGCCATAGCTTTGCTCCAAGCGTTCATTTTGTACATGCACATAACCATAATGAACACTACTCCGCTTCCCTGTTTCAGAGATTGAAGCTGCACAAATATAAAACAGGTTTTGACATCAGGTGGGATATGCACTTGATGTCAAAAAGACCTGCCACAATATTGTAGAGAAAAAGTATTTCACCCTATTACTTCATACGCAAAGACAAAAAGACATTCTAGGTGTTTACTTGTCAATTGACTGATCTGAAAGGGGAAGAAATGAATGAGAAAATTCATGCAGAATGAAAAATAAAATATCAATAATTACAAAAAGTATTGGAGAAATTAAGGAATGCCTGTTCTGTGTTCTGAAATATCCCAGGAAGTATTATTCCATTTCAAAGGTAAAAGAGAAAAAGGTATACCTGCTAGTACATCATGGTACATTTGAAAATACCACTGCACTTATAGAATGACAAAAACTTTAAAGCTCTCCCAAGGTGCTCAGGCTGACATGCTGGCTTCAAATATAATAGAAACATGCAATGGGTTTGTAAGGTTTTTTTAAATTTTGACAGGTTTAAAATTAACTGTATTCTAAACAACAAATTAGAACTGTGTCATAAATTCCTTTTTTCTATGTTACTGGAAGCAAGAACCTAAGGCAATGCATCTCAAGAGCTTCTTTGGTTGTTTCTGACATACTCTGACAAGAAGTAATTACAGGCCACATACATTCTTTCACAACCTTTTCTGAAGTAGCTTTTAAAGACAGATAATACAGGACTCCTTGTTTTTCACCTGTCAGGACCCTCCTGCTCAGAGCTGCTGCTGTTTCTTGCACACCTAGGCAAGAAGCATCTCTGGGGAAGAAGTTATGCAATGTGACCAGGAGGAGACTCTAGGAGACCAAAAGCATCTTAGTCTAAACCTAACAGAGCCTTGGTGATGAGGCAGATTTCACACATACAGGTTTTTCTCTGTGATAACTGTATCAGTTATCTACTACAGTCTGCAAATGTCTGGATATGCTGGACATTCTGGGTAACTCAGAAACTTCAGCCTCCACATGCACCCAGATCAGGAGACACGCAAGAAGAGCAAAGTGAATGTCCCAGGAGTCGCTGTGACCAGTGCTCACTGTGAGGGCCAGGATAACTCACTGCATGGCCCTATAGCTACAAAAGGCAAGTTGCAACCCATGCCCAGGAACTGTGTCAGGAAGGTCCTGGCCATGAAAAGTCTGATTTTTCTTCAAGAAAGAAGGAAATCTGTACTTTATTGGAAACAGAAGAAATTTCAGTGAAGCTCAGTGGAGCTTCAGTGAAATTCTGCCTTGGTATTGAGGCTAATGGAGATATTTCACTGAGGTGAAAGGAATTTCTTTCACTGTAAAAGATAAAGGCAGGCAGAAAACATGCAGGAGCTTGTTTGAGAACAGTAAAAAAATTAACACTTTTCAGTTAACCTGTCTAAAAGTTAAAAAACAGCCATCAGAATAGGTCTTGTAATCCATAACCCCCCCACACACACATTTCAGTGACTGGAAGTATACTCATGATTGTAACACTAGGAGGCTGGACTTGCACTCCTCTGTTGTAAAAATAAAGTTTAGAAATGTCTTTGATTGTCTTTGGCATTTCAGTTGCTATAGTACCCCCTCACATGAGCAAAGACTTTCTTGGTAGGCTTCGATTTAAATTTGGTCCCTCTAATGCTGATAGAACTATTACTGCTAAGTGGTTTCATTATCAGAAATAAATGGAAAGACTTGCTATTTGGCAATATCAGTTTCAAACCAAAGCAAGATGTTCAGTTCTGCTGACTGGAAGCTCTTAGAATTTCTAGCTAAAAGTCCATAAAATACAGGATTTGGAAATAGCTGCTAAGACATTAGGTTTAACTCATATTTGCCCTTTAATTTTAGTACAGAACAGGATATTTTGGCCAGATAGAGGAGGATGAACATTGTAAACCTTGCCACAACCTCCTTTGAAGGGAGAACATTTGCCAGCAATTTGCCTTTTTCAAATTTATGCTTGATCATATCAGTGGGCTAAATGTTAGTCATTTTATTCCAAGTAGGTGAGCAGTATCATGCATTAATGCCATTAGGTGCAGAGTGCAGTGAAATGGGCTAATGGCTTGTCAGCTTGAGAGAGATCAGAAACATGCTTTGATATCAGCAGCAGGATTTCTGAGACATACTTCATTAACTCAAATTTTAAATGTTAATAGTATTTTATTAGAAAAAAGCAGTTGAAATTAAACATGTAATAGCTCAGAGCATAGAAATATATGCACAGATACAATTATTCTTAAATGATGACATGGTTCCTGAGTCATTATGGCATTTCTTTTCCCTTAGTCAGCAAGAAAAAATATTGCAAATACCACTGATAGGTATTTATACTAATGGTTTTATCCGTCTGTTTAGCTAATCATACAGAAACTCAGTATCCCTGAGTCTGTGTACATGTGAGAATATAAAAATACATGTATATATATGTATATATGCATATTTGAAAAGCATTTATTATGTGACTCTTCAGTGGGAAGAATGGCTGTACAAACTAGTAAGAATAGCTTGAAATCTTTGTTGTAACCATGTGGGTTACAATGAGGTGGGTAGAGGATCATATATGCAGCAGTTACTATAGTTACAGTGTGTCTCTCTCTCTGTCTCTTTAATGAGGAACTAATCACTGTTCTCTGACCAAGGCATCCATATTTTGCTCATTTTTCTCTTCACCCACACCAGGCAGCATTTCTTCCCCAGGGGAAGGCAGATATAGCAGTATTAACCCTTAGGAGCAA